AGAGGTATGCCTCCTAAAAAGGTGTCTGCAAGTTGTTAATTAGATTAGTTTGGGTGAAAAACTTAGAATACTAGAGTGAAAGAAAATTTAAATCTTGATGACATAATCCACATCACATTATCTTAATTTTTGAGAGATGGGGTGAGAGAGCTTTGATTGTGAATTAAAGGATGAAGTTTGGGTTTGTATTGTGTTTACAAACAATTTGAGCATCTAGGGGTCAACCAAATAATAAAATATAAGTAAATGAAAATGAAAATATGAGTGGCCTATTCCTTAGGTTGGCCCATTTAATATACTCCAAGCTAAAATATTTGGTTTTGTTTAGCTTTTTTTTTTTTTTTATCCCCAACCAAACGAGCAGAGAAAATGGGTCATTTACACCAACTCATTTAACACAACTTGTATTTCTGACTTTAGTGAATAGCGATGGAAGATCAGAGTATAAGAAGATGCAAGGTTATTTTTGTCCACCCAAAAAATTCCCTCCAAAAACCTTACCTTAGTCCTTCCCTAATATTTTCTAGAATTTATGATCCTCATGAAATGCATTTACGAGAATTATTTTGAGATCCCCCAATACATTTAAATACCACAAGTTTCATTAGCAATCTAGCAAAGAAAAATAACAACTAAAATAATTATCATTTTCTTTTACTAAATTCTCAATAGATCATTTGGTATTTAAATGTGTTGTGTAGAATTGGTGATTAATTCTCGCAATACATTTTTCTAATAAAAAATGTAAAAGTTAGGTACGAAACTTTCAAATCAGCGTTGTGCGTTTAAGAACCATGCTTATGAATATATAGTAATAGGGAATGGAAATGGAGGCATGCTCTTATATATAATGAACAGATCAATTTTGATTTTAACTTATCATATACTCTACAATATCTTTGTGCATTTTTCATAAATATTGAAAACTAATTAAAGCACTAGTTCAAAAGTTAATCATCAAAATTAGAATTAAACTATGATCAAATCGATTATAAATAAAATATTTTTATTAAACCAAGATCAATGGTTGAGGGTGTTTCAAATCTCTAGTGACGATTTGGGGCTTTAGTGGATTGATTGCGTGAGAGTTCTCAGGGGATGTGATCTTAAGGTATCGCGATGGCCAAAGACCTTTGATGCATACCTCTAGGTGCTAAGAAGATGAAGTTTACCCATTGAAATCGGCATAAGTTGACAATGTGGAGGTATCTTGACGACATTACAGAGGCTGGTGATCTTCGTTGGGTGCCTTTAGACTATGAGATGAGGGACTGGTCCAATCTTCGTTAGTGCGTTTCGCTTGGGTTAGCATCATGGGCTGTGGGTTGGGATATTCGTATTAATGATATGACTAGGGATTTTAAAGGTAATATTGTCGGCTCTAGGCTTCAACATTGTGGCAATAACAATATCCTCTCTCTCATGGGTTATGTGTGATTATTGGTTCTAGTATAGTTGATTTCTATGATTAATTTAGTTTGGATGGGGCTTGTGGGAGCCTTTGTTTTCTTGGTTTATTATTGTCTATGTTGGTGCACAATGGTGAACAAGCTATATTTGTGGAGTCGATCATTTTTGAACTCCTAGATTTGTTGTGTGTGATGCTCTTGCTATTAAGAAAGGAAACTATATGACGGTCTTGTTATATTTTTTGCCTGAAATTTTCATCTATCGTCCTGCCGAGGTTTGGATTTCTTGTGGTTATGTTTTGGCATACTCATTTAGGCTTTTTGAAGGCAAAGTAGAAAATGATTTGAGGTGGGTTCCCCTAATAGCATGATTGACAATCTGATTTGGTGTGGATTCTGTGTGGAAGTTGGAAGTGTTTGATAATATGCCCCTATTGCAAGTTATTTTCAAGGTTATATTCTGCTCAAGGGTGATAAGCTGGGTTCAGGTGGATCCTTTTAATCTTGGTAAAGCGCGGGTGTATAACTTCAAGTGGATTCCAAGTTTATGTTAGCAGTGGGTTATGTTTTCTACATAGCCTACATGGGGATATGCTCGAAAGATAGGGTGTTTATGCCCCCATCCTACTCGCTTTCTTCCTAGTGTCCAATCTTGTAGAGTTGAAAATATGAGCCTACCTGAATTATATGAGTTGAAAGAAATGTGAGTTAAGTTGAATTTAACTTATTTTTATATGGGTTGAAAAAATCTTAACCCAACTCAATCCTTAATCTGTCAATCTATTTATTTTTTTATTTATTTTTTTCATGAATTAAAAAATACACTTAAATGATGTGTTTTAATTTGATATTTTTCATGATTCATTTTAAATATACCAAAATATTAATTTATACTATTTGTGTAAAATATATGAATTGATCCACCTAAGTAAGTTATGCTTAGTATGGTTTGTATCCACAAAAATTTTTTTCCTTTTTTCCCTTTTTAATTTTTTTTTGAAAAATAATATGAGTTAAATGGACTAACCCTAACCCATGAAGGTTAACTTTATATGATTTACTGGTTTGAGTTAGAAAAAACTTTTTTTTGTTTAAATTAATTTTTTTTCAACCCAACCTAACTCTTATAACCGGCTATTTAGACTAACCCATATAACGGATCCATATTCCCACTTCCGTTTTGGGTTGGCTAGGATTGTTCTCCATCAAGCTCTTTAGTCCTTGATTTTTTGTTTATTGATGCTTTATTTGGGGGGGGTGTTGTTTCAGTTAGTTTGTTTTGTTCTGGCTTGTTTTTAATATAATTGTTCCTATTGTGTTGTGGAAAAAAAGTTCGATCAAAATACTAATTTAATAATTTAATGGTTGAATTAAACTAGTTGACTTGGACTTCCATACTATAGCCAAATGAGGTGTATTATCCACATGAGTTTGCTTTCATTCGTACTTCACTTTCTGGCTTAATATAATATATGGAACCATGCCTCTCTCTCTCTCTCTCTCTCACACATTTGACTCATGTAAAGCTTGGCATTGGGTTTTTTCATCCTTGAAATTTCAAGTTGGGAGTCACGGATTGTTGTATGGGGCAATGACAAGCTCCAAAAGATACCATTTAATGACAGTTAAATCTTAGAAAAAAAATTATACAAAAAATGAGTTATAAATATCAATTTAAATGATATGTAACGTAAATTTTACTTGCAAATTAAAAATTACATTTTTCCAAATGGATATTTGTAACTTATTTAAAAAAAATTGTCAAAAACCTAGCTATCATGAAATTGATCTTTTTGAATCCAAGTGTCATTCTTTCTTCTTGTATTCATGTGTTCCTCCGTGGTATTTAACTCTGCTTCCTATGATTTCTGAATTTGTTATCAGATGGAGACTGATTGCGTGATATATTCTCTTTGAAAGGGTAGAAGAAGGTGATATGTGGTTACAGAATGAGAAGAATATTAGAGACTTTTAATGAAGAGAAAAAAAAAAACAGAATATTAGAGACTAGAGTGATTGATAATTTACGTTGGATTTAGTCCACCCTTGGTGGTGTTGGGCCAAGCCCATTTTGTATTAGGGGTCCATTTGCTAATAGATTAAAATTATGGTAAGGCCTAATTTACATCTTTTTGGAATTGGAGAGAACAGTTATTTTTCCCAAGGGAAAATTACAGCGAAGGATCTAGAGGAAATGATATTTAAAAATAAGGATCTTGAAAATCATAATCATTTATGAGGACCAAATACTGAAATATAAATTTAAAAACACTCGATTGCCCTTAATTATATATCCTCCATATTTCCGGGTCACATCTCATGTTATCCTACAAAGAGAATTAGATGTGAAAATTCTTCACGCCCCTCACGAAACTTGACAACGTAACAGCATAAATCCTTCAGTCTCTAAAACTCAACGGCAATTTCAATGATCTATTTCTCCCTTGCCTACTATGTTATCATCTTTTCGACCAATTGGAATATGCTTTGGAGAACAAACGAAAATTGATTAATTAAATTAGTAAGAATCTAACCTAAGCAAACTAAGAAAATATTTACATGTTTTTTTGCAGATGGGGTTTTAATTTAGTGGAGACGTAAGAGAATGGATCGGAGAAAAGGCATGGAAACTTAAATCATCACACATGACTTTTTTTTTTTTTTAGGCATTGTTGACTGATTTAATAATAAAGGTTGAAAGTCAATTTTCTTCACCTTGATCCTTCATTCTAATTTTAACTTTCATGATCTCTTTTATAATAAATATTAACAATTTTAGATCCATCTTCCTAATTATTCCTTTTCCCAAACCTCATACACTTACAATGAGGTGGAGGAGTTAGTTCAGGAGACGGGACCTCTCCTCTCCTTTTTCTCCACTTTTCCAATCCTCAATATAATTAAAAAATAATTTAATAAAATGATATGAATGGTAAGGATTGGAGAAGTAGAGAGAAAGGGGGGGGGGGGAGAAACCCCTCTCTTGTTCATAACACGAATAGCAAAAACTAATTTCTTCTCTTTCTCTCAAGCTCTCTCTTTTCTCAATCTTCGTCGGTATATTTGCTTCGTGCTAAAGATTGAGTTCCTATTCTAAGTAATTTTCTGCGTGGTTTCAAGTATTATTGACCAGAAGCCAGCAAGAGCTCTTTACTGAGGCTGGAATTGTGGTATGTTTTCCAACTCCAAAATCTTACAATTTACCAAGTTCAAACAGTAAGAGATGGGTTTAGAGGGAGGAGAATTTGGATATGAAAAATCTCAATAATTGTATAGTTCTTCTCTCAGCTATTGAATATGTCATGTTCTTCTTCATGACCATTTGGTCATGACTGCGAAGACAGTAAAATGATGACACAAACAAATACTCATCGGAAAAGACCTTCTTTAGCAATATATGATTTCGAACGAAGCTTTCCTGCTTTCATTGGCCGAAACATTGTGCAATCAATTTATCAAGCTAATCACTTAAATCAATATATGATGCAAGATTAATAATAAGCAGCATTAATCATAATAGAATAATTCACATATTAAATTCTAGGCAATGCGTGAAATTCATATTAAATTTAAGGAAAAAAATATACAAAATTGAACGAAATACACTTTAATTTTTAAAACAAAATACAATAGTTAATTGATAACAAAATGAACCGTTTGACTGACTAGTATAATGAAAATGAGCATACATGTGATTCACACAAGGGTGAGAAACTGAGAATGATATTCCATTCCATTAAGTTAACAAATGATTTCATTACCTCAACCAAGTAAATCAGCAAGAAACGGTGAGAATGATAAGCATATGCCTCCAAGAATGTACTCGCTCCAACCCATAACTTCATGCCCAGAAGGCAGGTACAAAGGGGAGATGAAAGCAGCTTTCAAGTTCTCAGCAGCAATTTCAGAAAAGACAATTTAGACTTTGTCATCAGACAAAACATTGGCCAAGTGTCCAGTCCAATGTCTTTTTTCTATCCTTCAATCTGGCCAGCCTGGCCCAAAGTGACCCGGCAAGACCAAGCCAATTAGGCCACCAGACATGATAAACACCCCTACCTCTAAAGTCTCAATTTTAGAAGCAAGGCTGCTGCAAACATCTGAAACAACGGATCAAGGTATAGCAGCTCAAGAAGCTGGTCAACAAAGCTCTAATCATCATCTTCTCTCTGGTGGTGCTCTTGATCTTCAAACAAGTCCTCAGGAGGGTCATAGACGATCATGCCAGGGAAAAGTTCTAAGAAGTCGTCTTTTACCTGTTCTCTTAGTTCTGGGTAGGGAATAAGTCCCTTCAATATCACTCGAAAGGGTAATGAAAGAGGAGGGTCAGGAGATTGCCTCATTTCTTCATATACGTTCATTGCCTCTGAGGGCAAGCCACTGTCCAAACAAGTTCTAATGATGTCTCCAAATGTATGTTGATCAAAAAGAACCTCCTCTCTTTTCAAATCTTCCCAAACCCTCTTTATTTCCTCCACCCTCTTGTTTCTTGCAAGCATCATGAGCATGTCTCTGTAAAAGAACATATCTGGCCGGTACCATATTTCTTTGCGCACGATCTCATACAACTATGACATAAAATATTTGTCATTCAAAAGTATACAACCATGTTGCATAACATAGAACACTTTACTGTCAGTGTACAAAACATCTGGTCGATAACTAAGAATATGTGACCAAAGGTTTAAATAAATTCAAACAAGCACCAAATTAATTTTTGACAGTTGAAACAGATTTCAGCACATCTGATTCAACAAGGTTGACACATTTTTCCATTTCTCGTTCAACAAATTTGGCGAATGACACATGATTTTTCCTCCATGATGGCCCAAAAACTGGGAGCCAACTCTAACTGAAACAACCACTCTGTTCGTTTCTAGGAAGAAGCAAGAAGCATGAACACTTACTGAAACTTCCAAATGACTATTTATTCAAGGCCGGGAACAATACAAAACAACTACACTAAATTTTTGTTCACTCTAATGCTAGACAGTAGCATCGACAACCACGAGAGTTCGAGACTGCAGTTTAGGCTCTAAAAGTTTGAAATAGGACTAATTAAAAGAGACCAAAAGAATCAATTAAACATAAAAGCAGAGGCAAGAGGATATGCTTTTCTGCTTTGTTTTTTTAATAGCCAAATGGATTCAATTAAAACGGAAAAGGGACTGGGATACAGATAGCTAGATGATGTTCCTCCTATATCAAGTTGACCAAAAACGTTAATAGGTAAATTCAAGTTTTTAGAATTCTATGAGCCAAACAAGAGCAAACAGATATCAGATCACAATTTAGAATAGGCCTACAACTGAATTGTGCCATTCAATTTTAAAAACAAGGGCAACAACATCAACAGGCATAGAGATAATTAAGAACTAAATGATATTGAATTAAATAATTCACAGAACCATAATCCATTGATCAAGATTTGTTCCCTACTTCTCCAAGAGCGTTTGCATGTCTTTGCCAATCCTAAATGCACGAGGAATTAAATTACTGGTAGAAAAACCACTTGAAGCAAGAAAATCATACAGGACTTGACAAGATCAGAACAACTGAGGTTTAAGAAAATTACCCCAAAACTATTCATTTATCACTTACACCCAGTTCAACAGTGTAACTTATCCTTCATGGTCCCTTTTATATCAAATATACATTATATACACAAATGGATAAAGTCTTCAAAATAAGAAAAATTAGATTAAACTCCTATAAATATGGAAGCTACTCATGATAGACAGCAACGATGCCTGGATATGGATCTTTAGCAACTCAACCGAGTAATAAAGCGACTCCAATTCTATTTCAGTTACCCTTCTTATATTTTGACTGCTACCAAAAATAACACCAAAAAAAAAAGGGAATTGAAGACTTAAAGTTGCCACATTGAGAAATGATTCTTACAAAAAGTATCAGAACATCAATTAAGATGGTGTTCAGTAGGTACATGGTATATTATGTTTCCAAGTAATTAGCAATCCTAATTATAAGATATTTAGACGTAATAGATTTTTTTAAAAAAAATTAAAAACAAAAATCCATGTTTTTGTATCATTGGTATCCTTGATAACAAATAATAATATTTTCCTATGTCTTGAACTTAATCATTTTTAAATAGATTTCCAAGAACATCGGAAATTAAGACTTCAAGGTATTAAACACCGCATAACTATCCAAGTGACATAATTACCTTTCCAAGTTCTATGTTTCATAGAAGGAGTTCTAAAAACTTCAATTACAAACAGTCATGTAGAGCTGTAAGCTCAACAGACCAAAATTCCACCAATGAATATATCAAACAATTGTTCACACTCAAGTATAAAATCGCAGAAGGAGAGAACAGGTGGAGAAATTAGGAACCTTCATGCAGAGAAAGACCTGGTCTTGCCTCTGGAACTCGGCAAGCACGGCTACGAGATCAGACTTGAGCAAGCGAGAGACATGAGAGCGGATGAAGCGGTCGAGCCGTACCGGATGGGACTGTAGCCTTTTGAGCTCTTTGGCGACGATCAGGCCTTCTTTACCCATCTCCTTCTTCCGCCGCCATATGGATAAGCTAGGGCTCGACGCAGAATGCGAGACCGACGCCGAACCAGAAAGAAATCGAAGGCTTTGATATGTAGAGTGCAACAGATTTGTTGATGAAGCTCTTCGCAGTGCATTCGCAGCAATACGCAGCGACATGGAAGGAAGATGACAATGCTAAGACCGTTTTTGTTTCAATCTTCGAGCATCCCTCCAAGTCTACTAAAGACACACGGAATTAGGGGTGTTCAATGTCTGAATTGGTTCGGTATCGTCCCGATTATATCAGGACGGGTCTTATTTCGGCCCAAAAATAATCAGGACGAGACTTTATGGGACGGGACAGGAAAGGAGTTCGGGACGGGACGGGACACGGGATTACCATCGGGACGTCCCGTCCCGTCCCGTCCCGAATATTATATATATTATTTTTTATTTTAAATATATTAATTATATTAATATAATTTATACTTATATTAATTATATCAATTATAATTTTAATACTTACAATTCTTATTTAAAACTAAAGTATTTTTATATTGATAATTTTAATGGTATGGAGTAAACATGGCGATATCTTTTTTATAATATATTAATTATATTAATATAATTTATTCTTATATCTATCTATTTAATAACTTTTATTTATAACATACTTTTTGCTTATTTTTAGAAGAGTAATTAGCTTAGTATATCTTCACTAAAGTAGAAGAACAATTATTTGATGTTGTATTTGACTTGCTTGTTGTTGCTAATTTTATAGCATAAAGATCACTTGTATTTTTTATTATAATATGTAGTTGTGATTAAAATAATTCAATAATTGATTTTAAATTATTGTTATTTATGTACTTGTGTTATTTTAATTTTAAACTTAATAAATTATATAATTTAAAATTTTAATGAACATTATTATCCAAATTTTTTTTCGATATTATTTCATTTATCGGGACGGCGGAACGTCCCGATCTTGTCCCAGTCCTGTCCCGACTCTTAACGGGACGGGACGACTTTCGGGACGGGACGGGATAAGGGACCAAAATTCAGTCCCGATCTTTTTTTCGGGACGGGACACGGGACGGGGGTATTCCGGTCCCGTCCCGTCCTGTGAACACCCTTACACGGAATGAAGCTAAGAAGGAAGATGTTGTAGGCCTGCAGTCTAAGCCCAAGGAACCCACTAAAGAAAGTCACAGAACTGATAATGGGCCAAACTCAATTCTGGGCCATAAAAGGAACGAACGGTTAACAGAAGGCCCAATAACTTCTTTAATGAAAGAGGAACGCACGGTCAACGCATGGACTCTTTGGAGGGGAATGATGACAACGCGCGATGACCTCTGGCTTGAAACAAAGGAGGAGGAGAGAAAAGGTGAGTCGGTGTTAGAAGTAGAGGTAGAATCGATGATTCCACTAAGTTTTTGAGGTGTGGTTTTTGCTGTCCTTTTTTTTCTTTATTTTATGAATATTTTAGTCTGAAATTGTAGAGTGACTGCCTCCAAAACTTTTTGGTGGTCATGTTAGAGATTTACTTCATGGTAAGAATGTTAGTAGAGGTAGAATCGATGATTCCACTAAGTCTTTGAGGTGTGGTTTTCGCTGTCCTTTTTTTTTTTCTTTATTTTGTGAATATTTTAGTCTGAAATTGTAGAGTGACTGCCTCCAAAACTTTTTGGTGGTCGTGTTAGAGATTTACTTCATGGTAAGAATGTTAGTAGTTTGATTCTTATGAAAACTCGAGTTAGTGAAAAGAAGGCGAATAACATTGTTAGAAATTTGGACTTTAATAACTGGCTTAGACTCGATGCTTCAAAATATGCAGGAGGAATTTGGATATTCTTGAATGAGGAAGATATCTTCTACCATCTAACCTATTCATGTTTATATCATGAGGTTAAAATATGGAAGAATTGCAATTAAATACTTTTTAAGAGAATTATTTATAAACAATGACTAACAACAAGTCATTATTAAAAAAAAAAACAAGTCTTAGTTATCATTTTAACAACAAATAATTTTGTATTGGTTATTGTCTATGAATACTTCTTTTACTAGATCCTTAGATGTAATTCTCCCTTAAAAAATAATCATCCATTCTAGTTGTCTTATATGTATGCAGAACCTTAATGTCATCTCCGTAGGCCTCTTTGGGATGACTTACGGAAGCTAAATTGGACCATGTATACATCAAAAGCCATGGCCTTAGGCCTAAATTTTTTTTTTCCTTATATTCTATATAATTGGTCATTATTTATCACGTTAAATATTGATATTAATTAAATATTTTTATTAAGAATTTATTTCTTGTTTATACCCTATACAACCACTCATCATTTGTATGTTAAACAATAATATTAATTATATCTTCTTATTAAAAATTTATTGCCTCAGATTTCACTACACTTATCACTCCCATTCTCAATACTAATCTCATTCCCAATATCAATTAATTATTTTCTAATAGAAGGGTAACATGCATTTACTCTATTAAAAGATTAAAGTCTTTTTCAAATACATATTCTGTTTATAGAATATTATTAATAATACCACTAATAGTTACTATTATTAAAAGAAATTTTTCAAAATTAAAATTGCTTAAATTTAATTTAAGATCAATCATGTTATAAAATAAATTCAATGGATTGCTACATTATCTAGTGAAAGTGAAATGTTAGAATTATTTGATTACAAAATTTAAATATCTAATCTTGCTCAAAAAGTTAGAAAAGTAATATGAAGATAAACAAATGACAACATATTAGACATTTTAAATAATTTTGTCTTAAGCTTCAAAACATCTTCACATGGCTTGAAGTTTCACTCTACAGGATCTTTCATTTTGGAATGTGTTTAGTTAGAGTTTTTTGGAGTGAAGAGAAATGGCACCCTTCTCCTCATTTGGTTAAGAACTTTTGAAGGGGAGGGGAGCTCTCTCATATTGCTCCCCTCCAATTTGGGGGGTTTTTTAGAGAGAAACTAAAATTTTTAATCATTTTGTCCTTCATTTTTTACTAACTGCGCTTTTCCACTGTGGCAGCCACCACTTATGAACTCAATTCCCTATCTTGATTAAAAAAAAATAATCCTTGTGGCATGTATGACTAGGTTTAACTTTGTTGCACAATTTGATTATGCAAGATCTAGACAGAGTGGGTGTGATTAGGTTGACAAAGGGTGATCAAATGGTGGATTTAGAAGGATATAATAGTAAATTAAAGAACAAAAAAGCAATTAAAACCTCCCTCCTAAGGAGCAGTGTAAATTATTTACTTTATATAAGGAGCATGATAAATAATAATTTTATATTTTTTATCCTTTTAATTTAGAATTTTAAATTTTTTTAAAGCTAATTGAGTTTAATTGGATATTATTTAATTTTATTAGCCAATCTTTAGTTTTTGAATTTTAATTAATTAAATCTTGAGTTTTAAAATATAAATGATATCTTTGATATTTTTACACAGTTTCTATTTTATTTTATTTTATTTGTACAAATTTTTTAAATTTAATTTGAAAGATATTAATATAGATTATGTTGAATAAGAAGAATATGAGCATGTTTGGAGATCAAATCAAGAATCAAATTTTAGAAATTTTGTTTATATTTATTTTGGGTAATTTAATGTAATTTTTAATTAGGATTATTTAGGATAGTTTTATCTTTTTAATAAATTATTACGTTTTATTTGAAAAAAAAAAAGCAACACATCAAGCATGAGAGACGCACAATTGTTTATATGTAAAGCAAGCCACAGAGTACACAAGGGATGGCTTGATGTAATCAATCAGAAACTATAATCTCAAACTTTATATTTAGAAAAAATTTTATATTAGTTTTATTTTAATTTACTCTTTTTCTTCTCTATCTTTAAATTTTATGCTTTAATTGATATTATTGATTAGAATAATTTTATTATATAATTTTTTATTTGTAAATTTTATCTGAGGTTTTACTTACTATAATCAATTGATATAGTAACATAAGAGTAATTTAGCTTGATTTGAGTAATTATTCATGCTTTATTTCTGGTATGACTAATATAGAATAGTTATTAAGTTGTGGGTTAAGAGAGATTTTAATTAATTCATAATTTAATTTCTTAGTTCATTCTTGAATGATAATTTAAAAATATATAATGAAACCAGAATAATAAAGTTAAATAAAATTAATTATTTTGTGGATGAAGATGATTAAGTTTAGGTGATTGAGTTGTGATTATGCTACTTGTGCTTGATAATGTTATCAGTTGAACTTGTTTTAATTATTTAATTTTACTTTAGTTTTTTAAATTAATTTCATCATAAAACAACCCCCCATTATTTAGCTTTTTATAATCCTAATTCAAGTAATTAATACATTGACTCTAAAAGAGATGACCTAAGTTATGCTTTATGACAAAATCTAATTTTTATTAATTTTAATACTATTCAACAATAGTGTCAGAATAATTTTGAAACTAAACTAATTTATAAGAATATAATAGTAAATTAATTATTATGTCACCTCCCCTCCTAAACTAAACAAGGTATTATTAAAATCCATTCCCTTCCCTCCCCCTCCTTCAAACCAAACACACTCTAATAGGGAATTTTAATTGTAATGATGCAAAAGTTAATTGAAATTTAAAATTGAGGCAAGGCATTTTAATGATACTTTTATATATATCTTGTATAGATTTACCAAGTAGGAAAGTTGGTCTAGTGATAACTAAGCTACTCTTGCATTAGCGAAGTCTTAGGTTCAAACCATTTTAAGGCAAGAGAAGAATTTTTTTTTAAACTAATACTTTGGCTAAATTACCATTTTGTCCCTATGAATGTTTTTTTTAAGGGTTAATATCCAATTTTGTCTAATTACTTTTTTATAGGAGCATTAGGCACCTTATACTCTTAAGTGGAGCAAATTTCTCCCTAATTTTTTTTTAAAGGAGAAAAAACTCCATTTTGTCAATTGGCTATTTATTCTCCCCTTAAATGGTAACTTGTCATTATGTGGGGCTCAGAAAAAAAATTGACTTCGCATAGTCAGACCCTCCTGTTAACCCGCTAGAGGATAAAAAATTTCCTTCTCGAATGCTAAGTCCCTCCAATGCAGAATAGATTGGCATTTTGTTGCCTATTTTCATATCATTTGGAGTGAACACATTCATATAAACTGCACAAGAAGATTGAGTGTTTTTTTGGAATCAAGTGTAAGAAAATGAATCACAAACCCAAAAATT